TTGTGTGTGTGTGCATGGGGAGAGGGTTGTTATCTCATATGAGGGATTCAGGGAAATCTCTTTTGCATGGACAACTGGTCACCTGATGAAAGGTTTGTAGGTACTTGGGGAAAGAGCATGCCAGACAGAGGAAGCAGCAAGTGCAAAGGCCCTGATGGTAAAGTATGCTGGGAGTTTCCAGGAACAAGGAGGCCATATGGCTGGAGTGAAGGAGGTAAGGGGGAGGGTAAAGAGATGACATCAAAGAGGTAGACTTGTAGGGCATTGTAGAGACTTTGGCTTTTATTCTGAGTAAGATGGTCAACCAGTGAAGTGCTTTTGAGAAGGAATACCATCATCTGGGTTAGGGTATTTTTTGTTGTTGTTGTTAAGATTATACTTATTTATTTGAGAGAGAGAGAGAGAGAGAGCATGTTGTGGGGTGGGGGGGGAGGAGAAGGAGAGGGATAAGCAACTCTGTGCTGAGTGCGGAGCCTGACGTGGGGCTCTGTCCCACAACACTGAGATCACGACCTGAGCCAAAATCAAGAGTTGGACACAACTCACTGAGCCACGCGCCTGGCTTGTTTTAATAAAGTCCCTTTGGCTGCTCTGTAAAGGGCCAGAGGCGAAACCAAGACCATTAGGAAATCAATCTGGCATGTCACACACTTTACTGGCCAAATCCTTTGTTAATAAACATCTAGGTTATTTCCAGGATCTTTTTATTAAAAACAGTGCTGGAATAAACATTAGAGTTTTTTATTTATTGTGGTAAAATTTACATAAAATTTACCATTTTAATGATTTTTAAGTGGCAGTAAGTACACTCACAATAACAGTCACAGTTCTGTAACTACCACTGCTATCTATTTCCAGAACTTCATCATTCCAAATGGAAACCCTGTACCATTAAATAATAACTCCTCATCTCCCCTAGCCCCTGGTAACTTCTCTACTTTCTGTCCTTCTGAATCTCCTGTTCTAGGTAACTCATATGAGTAGAATCATACAATATTTGTCCTTTTATGCCTGGCTTATCTCACTATAAATTTTCATAATGTTTTCATGGTTCATCCATGTTATATGTCAAAATGCCAATCCTTTTTAGGGCTGAATAATATTCCATTGTATGTATATACTACATTTTCTTTATCTGTTCATCCATCGATGGTCATTTGGATTGTTTCCATTTTGCACTATTGGCAATAATGCTGCTATGAACATGGGTGTACAAATATCTGTTGAGAACCTGCTTTCAGTTATTTTGGGTATATATCTAGGGGTGGAATCGCTGAATCATATAGCAAGTTTATGTTGAACTTTTTGAGGAATCATCAAACTGTTTTTCACAGTGGCTGCACTGTTTTACATCCCTACGATACCAGTGACAAGGGTTCCAATTTCTCTATATCCTCACCAATAATTGTTATTTTCTGTTGTTCTTTTTCTTTTCTTAATAGCCATCTTTTTTCCATAGTAGCCACTCTAATGTGTATAAAGTGGTACCTTGTGCTTTTGATTTACATTTTTCTAATGACTGATAATGCTGAGCCTCTTTTGTGTTCTTATGGGCCATTTGTATATATTCTGTAGAGAAATATCTATTCAAGTCCTTTGCCTACTTGTGAATCAGGTGTTTATTGTTGAGTTGTTGTTCTTTATATATTCTGGATATTAATCTCTTATCAGGTATATGATTTGCAAATATTTTCTCACATTTTAGGTTTTTTTTTTAAAGATTTTATTTATTTATTTGACAGAGAGAGAACACAAGTTGGGGAGATGTAGGAGGCAGAGGGAGAAGCAGGCTCCCTGCTCAGCAGGGGGCCCAATGTGGGACTCGATCCCAGGACCCCAGGATCATGACCTGAGCGGAAGGCAGACGCTTAACCGACTGAGCCACCCAGGCGCCCCTCTCCCATTTTGTGATTGTCCTTTGTGCAAGGTTTTTAATTTGATTAAGTCCAGTTTATCTATTTTTTCTTTCCTGTGCTTTTGGTGTCATGCTTAAGAAATGATTGCCTAGAGGTGCCTGGGTGGCTCAGTCCATTAAATGTCTGCCTTCAGCTCAGGTCATAATCTCAGGGTCCTGGGATCGAGTCCCATGTCAAGCTCCCTGCTCAGTGGGGAGTCTGCTTCTCCCTCTCCCTCTGCTGCTCCCCCTACTTGTGCTCTCTCAAATAAATAAATAAAATCTTAAAAAAAAAATTGCCTAATCCAGGGTCATGAAGATTTACACATTTTCCTCTGAGAGTGTTTTAGTTTTAGCTCTTAAATTTAGATTAATTTTTTTATGTAAAGTATCAACTTCATTCTTTTGCATGTGAATATCCAACTTTCCCACCACTATTTGTTGAAAACACTGTCCTTTCCCCACTGAATGGTATTGGCACCTTTGTTGAAAATCAATTGACCATTATGTAAGGTTTTATTTCTGGGTTCTTTATTCTATTCTATCAGTTGGCCTATATGTCCAACCTTATGCCAGTACCATACTGTTTTTTTGTTTTGTTTTGTTTTTAAAGACTTATTTATTGGGTTCCTGGGTGGTTCAGT